TGTGTGTGTGTGTGTGTGTGTGTGTGTGTGTGTGTGTGTGTGTGTGTTGCTGAGGATTGAAGCTAGGGCCTTCCACGTGCTGGACGAGGACTTTATCATCCAATCTTTATGGCCCAGCCAATCTATTTGACTGTTCAGTGTCTGAATACTGCCCATTTTACCCATCTAGCTGTTTGTCGGGAAGGTTTTTTTGCTCAGGACCAACACCTCCACAGAAACCAAGAAAACCTCTTACTAGAGAGAGAGGTAATAGAGTGGATCCCATAGAAAGTTCTGGGTTCTGTGACTATCCAACATTCATTCAGGTTGAGTCAGGAGAATATTGAGTTCCGTAGACAGTTTAGAGAAACCTTGTTAAAAATAACACAGTGGTAGAATGCTTTCCTAATTTGTACCGGACCCTGGGCTCAATCCCAGAGCTGTGAGTTAACAAGCTCAGCAACTGAATTTTAATACCCACATGTTACCGCCACCACAGGAGAAGGAAAGGTCTGCCGATTAGAGCACCTGACTAAGCATGTTGCATCTGGTCATTTGGACATGAAAACCCAAGTGTGCAAATGTCCCGATCCCGTTTCTCCCTCCCTATGATGGGGCATTTCCATCTGGACTATGCCTAGCCCTAGTGTCGCTCAGGTTCTTGGTGGAAACTCTCTGGGGGTGGTGGCCAGAAAAGGGCGGTTTGCCTGTGTGATCCCATGATCAGAAAGGAAACCAGTGCAAAGTGAAAACCAAAACAGCAGAGCTGGAAAACCACCAGGACAGGAAAGGAAGATGAAAGGTTCAAGGAAAAACTGGGGACTCCAGGACAGACTCAGCCCTGGTGGCTTAAATCTCAGCAGTGATACCCATCCTGTGTCTTTCCTTGCCTCTCTTTCAGTTCTAGACCCTTACACTTCAGGATACAGAGCTTGGGAGGAAACCACTCTAGTCTATTTGTAATGAACACTAAAACACTAGGATGATAGAACTCTATTTGTCCATTTTGTAAAGTAGTATTTTGTGAGTCAGGGAAAAAAAAAAACTCAATGTAATTTTTGGAGCTGTATTTGGGCGTTTGGGCTAACCTTGTCAAAGGTTAATCCAATTCGGCCAATGTCCACAAAGTTTCTTCTCTGAGAGGTACACTGACTCACCCAGAGCACAACTTACCCTCATGGGAGACAACACATGGTGACACACCTTTCAGTGTGACACACTGAGCAAGGGTCTGGCTTGCTTCCTGGGAGAGACAGTTCTCCAGCCCAGACTTGAAGCGTGACTCAGTTATGCCAGCAGATTGGGAGGAGGGACAGCTCAAGCTGGGAGGCCAACAAGTCTTAGCCTGGTGAATGTTTAGAGAGGAGCAGAGGGAATGCTCTGGGTACAGTTGGGAGGGTGAGACCAGAGGGCAAGTCAGGGCATGCAGTGCCTGTTGAGGCCCTGCCCAGGAGTCAAGCAGAAATTTTAGTGACCAGAGAAGTCAAACTGGGCTGCAAATTAGTTCCACCCAGGAAATATTCTTCTCCAAACCTAACCCTTGACCACAGGTGGCCTCTTCATGCTTCATTCCCTTCCCACAAATGAATGAATAAAGTGTAATTAAAAAAAAAAAATTCTGGAGCTAGTAAGAGGAAACAAAGAGAGGAGAGGGATTGTATCTCAGGGGAAAGAATGCTTGCCTAGTTTGCAAAAGGCCTGGGTTTCATCCCTAGCACTGAATAATTTGTGTGTGTGTGTGTGTGTGTGTGTGCGCGCGCGCGCGCACTTGTGATTTCAGTACTTGAGAAGTAGAGGGTCAACCTGGGAATCTACTGAACCTTGTTTTGTTTAAAGGGAAGGAAGGAAAGAAGGAAGAAAGGAAGGTAGATAAGCAGGTCACATCTAAGAAACTAATGTCAGCATTGTGAGAAGCCCCTGGATTCTGCAGGCTGTGCCTGAAGTGTGTGTGTATGTGTGTGTGCGCCCATGTATGCATATATGCTTGTGTGTCTCTGTGTGTGCTTGTGTGTGGTGTATGTGCTCATGCATGTGCTTGTGTTCACTTGTCTACCCAGGAGTACAATCATGCCTCATCCTCAAAGGCAAAAGTTGCTTGCAAAATGGAGTCTGTTAGGGGAAGGCTCAGCCTGCAAAGAAAGCCGTTTTACTCAATATGGAGTACCTTAGAATGGGGCATAGACTGATCTCAATAAACAGACCAGTGATATTGAAAAGCAAAGAAAGGAGATGTAGTCAGTGAGGCCACACTGAGAAGAGAAACAAAGAGGTCCAGGTCCATTTTCAGGGTCCCGATACAAAGTTTAGTTTAAATAGAACGTAAAAAGGTGTCATGGCTAAAGGACTTGGTCAGAATGATCCTGCTCACCACCGTTATCTCTGCTGCAGTCTGCAAGGTGGCCTACCAAGCTATCATCTGGGTTTCTCTCTCCGGGAGAAGAGCTCCCCTCTGGCTGGTGCCCGGCCCGTCTTTCCCTTCTCCCTGCATGAGATTCCTGTTGGCTGAAGGGAGGGGCCCACCTGTCTCTCTTGATGTTTTAGAGATGAAATCACATGTCAGAGGTTTTTATGGAAAACATTTAAATATTATTCTATGCTTATGGCTATTTTGCCTGCGTGTATGTGCGCCGCATACTTACATGCAGTGCAAGAGGATGCGAAAGGAGGAATTTGAATGCTCTGGAGCGGGAGGGAGTTACGGGCAATTGCAGGCTGCCATGTGGGTGCAGGGACTCGAACCCAGGTCTGTGGGAAGAGTAGCCAGTGCTCTTTACTATAGAGCCATTGCTCCAGGTCTCCAAATGTTTCTTCAGTGTAGTTTCACCCCTTCACAGACAGTTAGAACCTTTTGTCTTTGCAGTTCATAAAATCCTGAGGGAACGGCTACCCTTGGGGCCTGGCCCTCACACATCTCTCACTGTGCTCAACAAAGGGAAGTAATGTGCACAGACCACGGCCCAGAAATCCCTGGGGAGTGGACACAGAGGAGAATGACAATGAATCAAGTAAACCCGTGTGCTGCGTGAACTCAGTCACCGGTACCGATGAGCTGGCACGGAATTAAAATAAGCAGATAAACACGGCCAAAGTGATGAGAGAATATGGTAATAGCATGGTATGCGTACACGTGTATATGTAAAGTCACGGACTGTTAGATATTAAAGATAGTAAAGAAAATACCACAGTTTATATCAAAATAGAGCAGGAAAAAAAAATGGGTAGATGGAAGGTGAAAAAGAGAAAAGTGAAACAAAGAGACATAGGGATTAAGATGGCTACGCAGGGATGATAATGGGAACCAGAAACAGAACGATAGCAAAGGAAAGAAAGGAATGTTTGAGCAAATAATAGCCATGCTTCCTCCAGAATGAAAGGGGGAAGAGGCTCACAGAGGGTCCGGACAGAGTGGAAATTAAGAACATGAAGAACAGTAAGGAGGGCTGGGAAGATGGCTCAGGGGCTAAGAGCTCGTGCCGCTCTTTCCGGTGCCAGCATCCATGCCGGGAAACTCACAACTGCCCGTAGCTCCGGGCTCTGCAGACGCCGACGCACGGGGTTACACGCGCAAGTCCCGCGCTATGCTTTTTACGTGGGCCCCGAGGATTCAAACTCAAGTCCTCCTAATTCACTGGTAAGTGGCCCAAGGAAGCTCATTCTGCCAACTTCTGCTTTGAAATCCAGTGTATGACTCGGTGGGGAAGCTGGGAAGCAGCGTTCTCAACGGCAACCTGGACCGGCTGGGGTCCCACAGCGAGTGCCTCTCCGCCCAGGGCCCCCGGGGGCGCTTCCGGGGCCAGTACTGCAAGCTGCACGTCCTGCAGGTGAGTGGAAGGACGAGCTCTCAGGGCACAGCTTATAACACCACGCCGCCAGCTGCATTTCCTGACTGAAAACACAGTCAGGACTCCGAGGCCTCACAAGAAGGACAACTAGATTTTAGTTGATTCTTCTGTTCCTTTTGTGAGACAAGGTGTCACTAGGTAGGAAAGGTTGACTGGGAACTTTCGGTGTAGCCTTACTGCGAACTGTGAACTCTTGATCCTCTAGGCCAGGGGTCCTCAGCCTGCCTAACGTGGTGAACCCCAACCACAAAAGTGTTTTCATTGCTACTTCGTGACGGTAACTTTGCTACGGTTACGAATCTTAATGTAAATATGTGGCATGCGCTCCTGGCCAGAAGTTGTTAGACCCCTCCGAAGGGGTCGTGACCCACAGGTTGAGAACCCCTGTTCTAGGCTCTTCCAGGTGCTGAGGCACGCCCAGCTAACACTGGATTTTTGGCAGTTGTTGGAAGCTTGCTCAGCCTCTTTGGAATGGGTGACCTCGTGTGAGGCACTCGTCACAAACCGTGCAGGCTGTTCATATACTCCTCCCTCCACACTGAACGGACCTTGAAGGGGGGGGTCCAGGCTTAACCGTGGGCAGCAATTTGAATCGCAATCTTCCGTGTACATTCTTTGGGCTCATGGCTGTTCTCCCCGCCCATCTCAGTCCGCTCCGGTGGAGTCCAGTGGAAGAGTCTGCAGCGCCTCACCATTCCCCGCTCCCCCCCTCCCGTCCTCTTCCCCCCCCCCCCAGCAACTTCCAACTTTGAATCCTTTCTACCACGGAAGCAGTCACTGCTTGGAGGATGGTGGCTCCAACCGGGATGGTCGGGACCCGGTTGCTGAGCCCGATCCCCTGACAGCATCAGTTTCTGGAGCAGTGCCTGGAATCTGGGACCCAGTTATCCAGAGCCCTGGCCCCAGAAACGGAGCTCTAAACAGGAATCTACCCAAGTAGATGGGCTACAGTTTCTGAAAACCTACTAAGACAGCTGACTACCATTTTAGCGCTTACTCTAGCTGTTTAAAAGAATGTAATGCCATTAGTTTTGAGACTTTCGTTGTTCATTCATGTATTCGTGTAATGTATTTTGATCATCACCACCCCTGCTTCCTCTCAGATCCACCTCCCATCAGCACTCTCTGCCGACTTGGTGTCCTTAAATATGGCTTTCACGGCTCAGCAGGCACCTAGACATCATGCAGCCTCCCATTAAGTACAAAATAGACTTTACATGGCTGGAATAAGACTATATTGCTATCTGGTTAGAAACCATGGTCCGAAGTGACAGGAAACAGGAGCCCTCTGCCACCCCCCCACCCCCTCCTCTGAGCCCCTGACAGTGGTTAGCCATGTAGGGGGGTTGTTCCTGGTCCTCATTTGTCCTCCCGAAGGTCGGGGTGACTGCTTAAGGGTCATTTTCAGGTGAATGATTTTGATATCAGAGCAGAAGTTCAGTCCTGTGCAGTCATGTTTATTGTGTAATTAAAAGAACCAGCTCAGAAATTTGCATTTGTGATTTGGCCTATCTTCATTAAGACGGCCACTCTAGTTATTGGCTTGAGGTTGTTGTTGTTGTTTTTTTTTTTTTAATAAAATCTTTATTTGATATATGTGTTCCATGACTCAGAAATTGCAAGTTGACAAACTCCTTTAAAAAAAACAAACACATTTATTTATTTATTTTACGTATGAGTGCTCTAACTGCATGTACACCTGCATGCCAGAAGAGAGCATCAGATCTCAGTATAGATGGTTGTGAGCTATCATGTGGTGTCTGGGAATTGAACTCAGGATCTCTGGAAAGAGCAGACAGTGCTCTTAACCACTGAGCCATCTCTCTAGACTCAACAAACTCTTTAAACGATTTCAGGGGAGCCAGTTTTTATGACCTTAAATATGGAGGAGAAAAGCAGTGGGATATACTATCCGAAACTATTGATCTTTAATCTGGAGGAGGAATGTGCTGTGGTCAATTAACCAAAACTTTTTAAGCTGGGACATTGGGCCTGCACAACCTGGTATAGGTGAATCTGATGTTCCCTGTTCACCTGGGCCATCCCGTATTGGCAAGACTGTCTCGAGAAGTCAGAAACCTTTTTCCCTTCAGCTGATTTTTCCTTCAAAATTCAACAGATTTCCTTCTGTCTCTGACCCCAACTGCCTGCTGAGCGCTGGGACAGTGACAGCCTTCCTTAGCAGTAACCATACCTGAGGTGGCTCAGGACTGCAATCCTGGCATTTGGGAGCGAGAGGCAGGAGGATGAGGAAATCAAGACTTTCTTGAATTACATAAGAACCCTGTCCCAGAAAAGAAAACAAGGGGCCGGGGGCACGACTCCGTGTGTGCAGTTCCTGCCTGGGAAGTGTGAAGACTCATGGGTAAATTCCCCAGCACCCATGGAAAAGCTGGGTGAGGTCTGTAACCCCAGCTCCTGAGTGGTGTGCATGTAATATCTGTGTCAGAGACAGGCAGATCCCGTGAGGTCACTGGCTAGCCATGCTAGCTGAAACTAATCCGCTTTGGGTCCCATGGGCAGCCCCAACTCAAAAAATAAGGTGAGGCGTGATCAGGGAAGGACTGTCTGTGTTGACATCTGGGAGCACACTTTTACACTGCGAGTGTTAAAGGGTGCTGTGGCATTGTGTTTCTCAGGGTGCAGCAGACTATAGTGTGGGGGTGTGTGTCCCTGATTCTTGTGCCGAAGAGGATGTGACCATGATGTCTCAGCTGGGTAAGTATAAAAAAAATACAGTCAAATGTGTCACCATGAAGCTTGAAAATTCCAACAGCTTAGAGTCAGCAAAGGCAAAAAGGACCCCTGCAACCTTTAGGACCTTCAGGACCTTTGGGACCATACCAGCTCCTCATCTTGGTCAATGAGCTTAACTGAGAATAATGGGGGGGGGGGAAGAAAATCAGGAACAGAGGTGGTGCGACGGTAGTGGAGAAGACAGGAAGGAGAGAGAAAGACCAGAGCCAGGAGGTCATCGCCGGATCTTGATGCAATAAAGATGTAAAGCTGAATGGTCTCCCCACAGCTGCCTTATTGGGCCCCGAGGAGGCAGGAGTGGGTGGTGTCCCTTTTCCATACTGTGACTTCTCTGCTCTGCCCATGAGCCTGCCAACTGCTGGGTCAGGAAGGCCGTTTGGAAGTTGGGGGTTGTGTGAGGCCAACCGGTTGCTGTGGATTAGCGCCGAGAGCCCCGCATTCGGTCCCGGCTGTCCCTTCCCGGCTGTGTGATCCCGAACAAATCATTTAATCTCCCCCGAGTTTCAGTCTCCTGTCTATACAACAAAGGACCGACAAGCGCTGGAGTTCACAGCCTCCCCCACTTTCTACTGCCTCACAGTCATGTCTGACCTTTGGCACGCAGAGGAATACATTTTAGCTCATGGAAACTAGATAGGTCTTCTATAAGTATTTCAAGAATTCCTAAGCAGGAGCTTTAAAGCCCAAGATTTGTTTTCATTGCTTAGTGATTCATATTAATTCTGGTCATCTAAAAAAAATAATAATAACAGCTCGTGACCGAGTTCTCCTTCAAAGTGTTGACAGTGCAGCTATTCTTGATAACTTTAAATCATCCTCTAAGTTTGTAATGACACTCACGGCTTTGGGTACATTATCTTTCTAGCCTAATGTTTTATGTGCTGTTTAAAGACAAACAAACAAACCAAAACCAATACCCACATGCAATCAAACAAACAAGCACACAAACAAACAAACACCAGGCATGTTGTCATATGGCTGCAACCCCAGCATTCCAGAAGACAAAGGAGGAGGTTCATGAGCCTAAGGTCAGCCTGGGCTACAGAGCAAGTCGGAGGATAACCTAAGCTACATAGCAAGATATTTTTGTATCAGAAACAACAACAAAAAGGAGCTGGTGACCTATCTCAGTGGCCTGGCATTTCCTCAGCATCTGTGAAACGCTAGTTCTAGCTTCAGTACTACAAGCAAAATTAAAAAACAAAACAAAACAAAACATTGTTAGTTAAAGCCAAAATTTGGTTCTTTATAGATAAGAGATGAATATCACAAAAAAAACAAAGACAGGTGATCAGCTGCTATGCAATTAGCACTGTACGTCAGTAACCAAGGCCTCATGTTGAACGAGTTGACTTGCCTAAGAGATTCATCAGTTACTATGATCACAGTAAGATGACTAGCCTGAGCTGGCCAAACGAAGTAAAATGTTGGCCATCATTGCTGCTGATAAGAAGACACTTCGAGATACTCATTCTCAGAGAGACATGAAGAAGGTGTTTTCTGAGAAACCGGAAGAACAGGCCCAAGCTAGGGTGAGCGGAGCTGACATGGGGAGCTGCTCAGGAAATTAGTATTGGAAGGCGCAGCCTTTCTCCAGCTTTGGCACAGAGGCAGGGCTTGAGATCAGAGTGACTTTGTCTGAGGGAACATTTCCCCATCTGGAAAGGATCTGTCAGCTATTTCTTAAAGTTTTTTGATGAAGCTGCTAATATCTCTCCTCCAGATGTAGGGCAAGCAGTTCAGTAATGCCAGGTGGCTGCTGTTGGCACAGGTCCGCTCATTGGAGCAGGACTGCAGGAGAAGCCACAGCAGACAGTCCAGGGCAGGATGATCAAAGCATTGCTGAGAGAGAGAGAGAGACCCTGCATCCTCCGGCCAGGCCGTGGAGGACTTGCTGCGCAATGTTTTCCATGAGATGCTGAAGCATTTCAACAAACAGACGTGATGTGATGCTTGAGCCTCACTATCAGCTTGACTGGACTTAGAATCACCTAGGAGACACTCATCCTAAACGTGTGTGGCTCTAGCCCAAGGGCTCAGGGTGTAGACTGAATAAAAGAGGAAAAAGTAAAAAGTAAGAGGAAGTTCAGCATTCTCTTTTCTGGGTCTGCAGAGATGTGAGCCAGCAGCTCATGCTCCTGTCACAACTGTGAACCTCAAGTGGCCCTAGGACTTCCCTGATGAGGGACTGGGTTGAGCCAGGAGCCCAAATCAATCCTTCCTGCCTTTAGTTGCTTCTTGTGAGGTGTTTGGCCACAGTAGTGAGAAAAGCCATGAATGTGCGTGGCTTCCAGAGGAAGAAATTATGTCATCCCAGGCTGTGCAGGCTTTGAGCACTGGTTCTCAACCCTCCTGATGCTGTGCCCCTTTGATACAGTTCCGCATGTTGTGGTGACTCCCAAACGTAAAATTATTTTCATTGCTACTTCATAACTGTAATTTTGCTGCTGTTCTGAATTATACTGCAAATATCTGTGTTTTCCAATGGTCTTAGGTGACTCTTGTGGATGGGTTGTTCAAAACCACTGCTTTACATCAAGCCTAGACACAAAAATTACAAAATCCAGTGTAAATGACTTATTGTATTCATTTCTCAAGGCTTCTACCACCAGCCTCGGACTGTGGTACTTCAGATGACTTAAGACAAGAAAAAATAATTTTCTCATAGTTCTGGACAGCAGACATCTGAAATCTAGGTGTTGATGAGGTTGATTGCTTCTGGAGCTATCTATCAGAGTCTGGCATATGCCTTCTCCCTTAGCATCTGGAGGCTGCCAGCAGTTCTTGATGCTCTTGGCTTATAGACACACCTCACCTCCTTGGCTTGTTGACAAACCATGTTTCTTTGACCTGTAGACACACCATACCTCCTCAGGTTGTAGATACACAGCGCCTCCTTGGCTTATAGACACACTATGTCGCCTTGTCCTGTAAAGATTTCATTCTTCCCCAGTGAGCACACACATAATTTCTCCTAAACTTTGTCCTTGGCCTGTAGACACACCAATTCTCCATAGTTTGTAGACATAACACTTCTCCTCAGCTGTTAGATGCACCATTTTTTCTTAGCATGTGAATACACCATTCTTCATTGGCTTGTGGATACATCATTCTTCATTGGCTTGTGGAACCACCATTCTTCATTGGCTTGTGGATACACCATTCTTCATTGGCTTATGGATACACCATTCTTCATTGGCTTGTAGTCATTACTTCCATTGGCAGGTGGGATTCTTCCCAATAGGTCTCTCTCCTCCACCAGCTACACTGGGTTTAGGGTCCACTCTAACCTTATATGATCTCATTGTAGGTTGATTACTTCTGAAAAGATGATATTTCCTAACAATGTTACATTCATGGGTATCAGGATTTGAATCTTTTCTGGGAGTGGGAAGTCAGAATATGACCCAATATTGACTTTCTGGTTTGGCTAGATTATTTGAGTTCCCTTAAATATGACAGAGAGTTGGCAAAATGGTGGCTCACTGCCACTTAATCCAGGACACTGCACTCACCAAATGTATTTGACAAATCCAACTGAACCCTGTGTGGTACCTAAAGCTGACAGAAAAAAAAATTGGTTTTAATATTCTGCTTAACACTGAGCCAACAAGTTTTATCTGCCAGCGGCAAAAGGGGGCTACACATTTCTATTCCCAGGGGCTCACTCTAAGTCTGTCCATCAGAAAATTTATAACAGTTAATGATACTCACACTATCTGTTCATTAAGAACTGAGCTGGCTGATGCCAAGTTTCACCAGTGTTTACCGTCAGTGGAAACTGCCCTCTTTGACGCTTCTCTGATTTCGAACAGCCTGGCCTGTTAAAGTAACCAAGCTGACAAGTGGTTTCCCCTCAGCACTCTCACGACTCCCCTGTGTGTTGACTGAAAAGCTGGAGTTCTCTAGCAGCAAATCCTTGAGTTAGCTGCAGGTTTCTTTCTGGCTAGGACTCAAAAGGAATTTTTTTTGTCAGATAATCTTTTATTGAAACATTTTCTCTTGTTGCTTTTTTAATTTTAATTTTTAATTTTTTTGTTTTTTTTTTTTTTGAGACAGAGTTTCTCTGTATAGCCTTGGCTGTCCTGAACTCACTTTGTAAATCAGGCTGGCTTTGAACTCACAGAGATCCTCCTGCCTCTGCCTCCTGGAGTTCTGAGATTACAGGTGTGCGCCCAGCTCTCTTCTTGCTTCCTAATTAACCCATGTACTCCATTGCATTCTGCTGACTTCTGTGATGTCTTGATGGTGGAAGCCAACCACACTCTAGCCACCAGGATCCTCTCAATAGTTCCTGAAAGCTCATAAGTTCAAGACTGGTGTGGCATCTGCAGGGCATGCTTGGCAATATCATTGAGAGTGTTATTTCCAATGTAATTATTGTTTTATGGTCCTTTCTACATGGTTTCTTGTCGGCTTTGATAATCAGGGAAGAGGCAGAAGGTACAACCTTCTCTGGGCCTGTTTGTTCTGAGTGGTCAGTTTCATTACCATCCTCTGACTTTTTCAGTCACTAGTTGCTATGGCAACATCATCAGCAACTTTTTCCCCTTTCTTTTTGCTGCTACCACTGAAAATTGACCCAGGTCCCCTAAAAAAACATCCAGGGCTCTCTCACAGCCGTCTCTCCAGCCCTGTTGAAACTGTATTCCTAACCAGTATGTTCCATTTGATGAACTTATCTGAGAAAATTCTCCTGTGCATAAGGTAAGGTGAACGCTTCTTATAAGTATGTAAAAAGTTAAAACTAGTGATGGAACCATGCCCCGTGTCTAGCAGGCACTTAATGAACGGTCGCGTTTGTGGCTGTTAGTAATTGGTATTACCATTGTGTGAAACCATGTGTCCCCAGTGTTTGCCGAGGCCTGGAAAGTGCCCAGGGCTTGGTTCTGAGTGTGGTCCTGGGAAGTTGCAGAGTATAGATTCCAGATCGCTTCCAGACCTCCAGCTCTGAGGCCTCCAGGGAGGGGGCCAAACAGTGCTCCCTCACAGGCCCTCTGGGTCACCTGAGGCTCACTGACATCTGAGACAGAATGCTAGTCTCACTGGTAAGATCTTTACATAGCGATCCTTCCAGGGGCTTATCAGCCGTGTCCTGACTGGCTTCTAAGCTTCAGTTTTGGGTGGTGCCCATCCCAGAGTGCTTGGCTTCCATCATTTTATTCCATCTTCTATGGCATGGTTTTGTCTCTCTTGTAGAGACTTGCCCACACATAGGCCTGAGTCAGTACCAGCACCTTTTTAGATTTAGCATTCCCAGGGCTGTGTGCCACAAGGGATGTGAGAGATCAACAGACTAAGAGTTCAGACTAGTCCATTTCTATCTGGGCCAAGTGCCTGCTTGTGGCTTTCAGCATCTTTTTTCTGTTTTAAGCATTTATTATTATTGTTATTAATTTATTTTTAAGGTGTGTGTGTGCATGACTGTGTGTATGTGCAAAGGTGCCTGTGGAGGCCGAATGAGGGTGTCAGATTCCCTGGAACTGGACTTACAGGAGATTGTGAACTGTCTGAAGCAAATGCTGTGAACTGAACTCTGGTCCTCTAGAAGAGCAGTATTCACTTTTAATCCCTGACACATGTCTCTGCCTTCTGTGGCATCTTTGTTTCCTCTTTTTCCTCCCACTATCCATAAAGCAGATAAATTTGGCCTTTGGTACTTATGATAGATTGGTTCAAAGACCCCCACTTCCAGGAAACTGAAATCTGCCCGTAAGTCATTATGTAAATTTTAATAGTGTTTGCATGGAATTTATAGAATCCTCCTGTGCACCATTAATCGTCCACAGCTTCTTTATAATACCTAATGTAAAGGCTGTGTGCATAGTTATGCTATAATCATACTATATCCTTTAAAGAATAATGATGAAAATTCTGTGCATGTTCAGTACAGATACAATTTAAAAATATTGTTAGACTTGGAAAACCAAGGCATGTTAAAATGCCAGCTTTGCGTTGGCATGATAAGACCACACTCAGAAGAGTCTAAAACGGTAACGTAGCCTCTTCTCATCTCGTAGATATTCTAAGGTTCAGAAATACTTCATTCTTGGCACCGTCCCTCTCCCTCTTTACAAGAAACTTCTCGTCTTCCTCATCTTTTGAAAGCGTGGCCAGATGTGCTGCTGGCGTGTTGAGGCTGGACGCGCTTGCTTCTGTGTGTCTGTAAGTATGGATGTCTGAGGTATCCAGGTGGGCACTATGCCAGTATCACCCCCTTCTCTCCCCAACCACATTTGGTGTTGAATTGAATCCATTGAGTGATGACTGATCAATGCCGTCTGGCTTCAAAGTTCAGTGATCAGAATGTATGTGTCTCCCCAGTATTCCTACACTGAAACTTAAACCTGAGTGTGGTGATATCACGTGGTGCCTTTAGTGGAGATTAGTGTCCTCTTAAGAGTTCCAAGTGTGTGTGGGGGTCCTATCCTTCTATCACATGAGGTCAACTAGAAGGTGCCAAGAACAAAGCCTGCGGGTGATTTGATTTGGGACTCCCAGCTTCCAAAATAATAAGAAATCTATTGTTCGTTAGAGCAATAGAAAACCAGCCCATGGCATTTTGTTACAGCAACCTATGCTGACTAAAATACAGGGAGATTACCACTAAACAAGGAACTATGACCGTACTCCAGGGAAGACAGACTACGTCCAAACTTGAGTGGGGTCCAGGACCACCAGCAAATGCATCCATCTCCAATCATTCCCGGGCCTCTCTCCTGACTATGCTCTCTCACAGCTGTCTCTCCAGCCTTGCTGAAACTGTATTCCTAACCAGTGTGTTCAATTTGATGAGCCAATGTCATGCCCATTACCTTTTGGCATTTTGGTCATTTCTTGGTACAAATTAAATAGAAGTATAATTCTAGCCACCCATTTAAAAAATTTAAATTTATGAGTACATGTATGCCTGTGTCAGATTAGGTGGACCACTTGTGTGCAGATGCCCATGAAGTCAGGAGAGGGCTTTAGCTAGATCACCTGGAACTAGAGTTACAGGAAGCTGAGAGGCCCACACTGTAGGTACTGGGAAAACTGAAGCTGGGTCCTTCCTCCATGAGAATAAGCATTCTTATCCCATGAATTATCTCTTCAGGCTCTATTCTAAAGTTATTAAGTATTTCCCACTTAAATTTTAGGTGTTTTTCTTGTTGTTATTTTTCCTTTTTGAGACAGGGTGTTTCTATGTATATCAGCTAGTCTTGAACTCTGGATTCAGCCTCCAAAATGCTAGGGTTACAGGACTGCCTCCATGTCCAGTTGATGGTTTGTTTTTCATGAGGTTGTTTTCTCTACATCTTTGGTGGTATGTGGAGGCCTGGCTAGGTATCTTCTCTCTGCAGATTTATCACCTTGCTAGGCCTTGTCCTTCCTGTGGCTGGAACGGTTTACACGATGGCCAGGGACTGGGGCTTGGACCTTAGGACATCGTCTGCACATGGGACACTTCCTACCGCTTGTGAGAGTCTTCCCTTAAGAAACATGGAGAACAATGAGCAAAAAAGCAGGAGCCCACGGAGCAACTGCCACGTTCAGCCCTCTCCACCAGGACCCCTGAGCAGAGGAAAACGTAAGCATTTCAAAATAAGACCACCCCAAAGAAGCAAACTAGAGAAGTGTGTGGCTGGAGAACAATTCCTCCAGTTTGGATTCCAGCAAATGCCCGGCAGCTTCTAAATGTCAGCAGGGGCTGGATCCCCATTGTTTACAATTCAGTCTTTGTTTACTCTCAGGGTGCTAAGGCAAGGCGAAGGCACTGACAGTGATGCTTTATGTGGGAAACAATTATCTAGTGTGTTTTTGTGCTGACCGAAGCCTGGCTCAGTAGAGAGTTAAGGGGTTCACTGTAGTTACTGTCTACGATCATGGCTATTTTCAGTACTATAGATACGTGTACAGCTCTGAAGCCAGTGGTGGGGTGAAGGTACAAGCAAAGCTGATCAGTGCATCTGAGTTGGAAATAGATAACAACTCAGTGCAGCACACAATAAAAAATGACAATTCCAGTGGGGCCCGCAGTGTTATGCTTTGGTGAAAAATTAAGAATATTAGTTTCAAGGGCCATGGTGGCACACAACTTTAGTCCTAAAATTTAAGAGGCAGAAGAATCTTCTGTGGTTTTGAATTCAGCCAGGACTACATAGTGTGACTCTGTCTAGAAAGAAAGAAGAAAAAGAAAAAAGAAAGACAGAAAGAAGGAAAGAAAGAAAGAGAGGAAGGAAGAAAGGAAGAGAGGAAGGAAGGAAGGAAGGAAGGAAGGAAGGAAGGAAGGAAGGAAGGAAAAGCTGGGCCTGGTGGCACACGCCCATAATCCCAGCACTTGGAGAGGCAGGGGCAGGCAGATCTCTTTGAATTCAAGGCCAGCCTGGTCTACAAAGTGAGTCTAAGACAGCAACACTACACAGAGAAACCTTGTATTGAAAAACCAAAAGAAAGGAAGAAAGAAAGGAAGGAAGGAAGGAAGGAAGGAAGGAAGGAAAGAAGGAAGGAAGAAAGAATATTACCTTCATTTCCACCTGCCTGTGGAAGGGGCAAACATAGATCGACATTATCACCTATTAATCTATACCTATTATCTACCTATCTACTATCTATCTAGTTACCTACCTGCCTATCATCTGTACGATTCAAAAATTGCCTGTTCATGCAAATACCTTTCATCCATATGGAGTAATAAATTCCCCTCAGGTCTTTGAATTTGTCTTTTCTTACTCTAAAGGAGAATTCAGGAAAAAAAAAAAAAAAAACAACACCTTAAATATCTCAGGGCATTGGCAGGGTAAATATGAATGTGTAATTAAGTAGCTTCAAGGAGTATGTCCCACGTGGAAAGCATAGCAATGATTTTTTTTTCTGCTCTTATTTGAATTTTACACAAAATCAGCACTGACAGTAACTTAAAATCCTGACATCAAAGACACAATAAAAGACAGAGATACTCTGAGAGGGTGCTTGGCAGGCTTAGAGCCCTGGGGACCAGTTCCTGTGCAGAATAGAATGCAGCTTTGCCTGCCAGGGGGCACGAGTCCGTCCATGCTGCCCTTCAGTATCTACCCTGAAGCCCTCTCTCTTGGTTATACTACATCTTCACATTATAAGTACAGGAATGATGGGCTTGCTTGCCCAGGATCTGGAAGCCTCCAGTGACCTCTTGTGTTGTGTTTGTAGATTGATCACTCTGAGTCTGGCTGCCCTGTAAGAAGGGTTCAAGTTCGGCATGGTTAGAGAAAGGAGGTGCTTAGCCTTGACTGCTAACCTGGGCCTCAGGTGGATCGTTTGATCTCTATAAACCTCAACTTCCACATATATAAAATAGGAGATAGCATGGGATAAGTTGATGGAGTTCGATGTGATAATACGTGCTTGTTTCTTAAATTGACACTTTCCCTCCATCTCGATATTCAAGCGGGAAGAGAGGAAAGGTAGCGTTGGGCCAGGATGTTTTTCTGGGAGGTCCAGATCTTTCTGAGCAAGCAGCAGGCCCAGCTATGTTCCAGAGGCTTCTGCCGGATAGGCATTGCATCTCCGTGGCTTTCCGCATGCCAGGCTGGAACACAGAGGCTTATGCTTGGCACCCATCTCACACTTAAAACACAGATATGTTACAAGGTGTCAGGCATCAGTGTGGTTCCTCCCCCAAATTGAGAAAATTGTGATCTGTTTGAATATTATTGGCAGTTGCTTTTTACTGTGGTTTCAAAAATGGCTGGTCTGTGTTAGGTTGCCACAGCATTTTTTTTTTCCTTTTGTATTTAATACTATCAGAGACAAAGTATGTCCTTGAATGTTTGGAAGTACAAATTAATGTATTCATTGCTTTTCCTTCCCCACTTTGACATTCCTCTGTAGATCAAAGCAATATAAGACCAATGTATCTTTTAGAAGGCTGGAGTCCAACTGGGCATTTTGGATTCTTGATTCTTGATTCTTTAGCCTCCCTCCTGATAACTGTTGTATGTTTTAGTGCAGCTTCCACAAACAGAATTATTCTGTTTAGTAGAGAATTAGGTCAGCTTGAATTGAGTTACATTTTTTCTATATTGTAAAAATATTTATGAAAGATAGTGAATTGTGTACATAAAATCTTGAAATAATTCTTTGATATAATTTGCCCCAAACTAATTCTTCAGGGGCTAATTATAATGCTTTGATAATATGTTTAATAACTTGTAAGATAATTGAATTATTTAGGTTTTTTTTGCTTCTTCTAATGTGAATTTTGATAATAAACATATTGTAACAGCACTTTTTAGTTCAGTTGTTTTTTTTTTTTTAAGTTTAGCTGTCTTGCTATTTGGAAGAGGCAATACAAGGGAGCAAAAGTGTGAGAAAGAGTTCATGAATTAAACAGCTATGGATTCGGTGGGTTTGGTGGCACACGCCTGTAATTCCAGCACTCAGGGAGGCAGAGGCAGGTGGATCACTGAGAGTTCCAGAAGCTAGCCTGGTAAACAAGTCCAGGATAGTCAAGGCTACACAGAGAAACCCTGTCTTGAAAAAACAAAACAAAACAAAAAAAAAAAAAAAAAA